TTTTTTTTTTTTTTTTTTTTTCTTTACATTGTGGGCTAAGTTTGCTTTTGAAGCTATCAAGCTTTTTGTTTTAAAAATTGTAGTTTCGAGATCAAGAAATCTCGAGCAAAGATCTTTTGACGTGGAGCAAGGATGGCCATTGGATCAAACAATGTTTTTCTCTCCACAAATCTGCTCCATTGATTTCCAAAGTGAAGCTTCCACTCTTTTTCTGAATGGTAGTGTGGCAAATAGAGCTTGAAGTCGATGCAATTCACATGACATATATTGACAATTTCTCGATTTTGTTCCACTAACTTATCAACCAATGCAGGTCTCGAATTTGGTGGAGTGAATCGTAGTAATGCCACTAGGTAGAACACTTCACCTTCTGGTAATGCCACTGACGTTCGAGAATCCCACCTATTAAAAATTACAAAACATATGAGTCTAACGAGGAAAGAGAGAGAAGATCGAGATGATATGAAGTGGACCAATGAGAGGGTTATTTAGGAAATTTTGTTGGAAAATAATAAGAAAATCTCATATCCCTCAAAAGATAATATTCTCATTACCCAATTTACCCCTTCCCTACACTCCCTCACCTATAAAGGTAAGTCCTTTATATAAACACCCCCATTACAAGGTGAGTCAATTTCCAAAAATTCTTCAATTTTTTTACACTCCAAAAACATGGGACCCACAGTATCTTTGTCCCACAAGTACGCTATTTTTTCTATTATTATTATTATTATCCAACTAAAAAAAACAACGTTAATGGGAATGTTTAAAGATAACGGCACACGTGCGAGAACTATAGTCCCACGTGCGAGTTTTGAGGTGTTTGACCTACCTCAAATCTTAACCACCCAATCCTAAGACGTTCAGCAATTTGGTCAGCAAATCAGATTGAAGGGATCGGGTGACTTAAGGTTTAAGCCAAAACGTGACCGTTTTGGGCCCCATTTCCCATCCCTCTCCCTCTTGGCCCATGTGCACAGAAACGTCGTCGTTTAGCACTAAATCCGGCCTGGACATTTGCCCCACTCTTACGTGGCAGTAAGCATGCTTTGATCCCGTCGTACATAATTTCCCCCATCCTTTTCTTTTCTTTTGTGAACATTAAAAATAAACAAATAAAGGGAGGCGGGGGGGGTAATTCTTACCTGCTACGCAGAAGAGGATAGACGAGCATGGGCCCACCGACTCCATTTTTTAGGAGGGTCTTGAAGACCGCACGATCAAAATTGACGATGTCTGATTTCGACACGAAGAGGTTAAGCCAAGGATGAGGAGCATCCCAAACGCCGTTGGCGATTGCTTCCTCCTCCGCACGCTTCACACGTGACAAAAATTGTACGTAGCTGAGGTCCACCTGGAATCTGAGCCCCTTCACATACCCGAGCCCGCTCAGCAACCTCTCAACGTCCTGCCAAAAAATACCAAAATACGTGGGGAGGGGTATTTTCGTCATTCCATTCATAGCAAAACGATATCACTCGATTTACAGATTCCACAAAATGATGGCTTTTTGGCCACTTATATGAAACTTGATAGGGACCCTTGTGTCAGCAAAATCTCAAATGATCAGTGTTTTTACCCTTCCATTTTACGATTCTACCCCTCACTCTCGCATGTAATTACCAACCTACCCCCACAAATATAATAAATTATAATTAAAAACAGTGCCATCTTCGTAATTAGGAATAGATACTCTGGGCAGTTATGGGAGCTGCCCGATGTCAGAAAATCCAATGGAAGATACATTAATATCGTATTGTCAGTTTTCGTTTTTTGTTTCCCCCCGAAACTAAATAACAGCCTCACAATATATTAAATTAAATATTACGCCCCCATCAATAAAGGAAAGGTCGTCGTTTTATGGTTTAGATAATGATGACTAAGACGAAGAAATAAAAAATCACAAGCTTTATACGAGTGAGAACTCTTATGACTGCCTTTGACCTCGTCACTGTCCGCCGCTGGAATTTTAATTAAATTATTAAAATAAAATTCCACCTCATCCCCCTTATGGGACCCACTCACCCCTATTCCAATCGTCAAAATCCACTTCCTTCACTAAAGTAAAAAACCCAGTCATTGTTTTTACGACAATTATACGTGTGTGCCTCTGTAAGCATTTACATACCCGACCCCACAGATCGTCTCAAGATCCGACGGTCACAAATTTCTTTATCATTAATATAATTATAATAATAGTAATAGATTTTATTATTGTTTTTTTTACCGTGTCGACGGTTGAGACTTGGTCGTTGTTCCGGTAGTGGACGGCGACCTCGAGACAGTAGAGAACCGAACCGGCGGTTTCCGGTAAATGAGATGAGTCGAAGACAGCACCGGAGGCCAACGGCACTGTGGATCTTCCTGTCAATGGGTCGTCGTTGTTGGAAAAAACGAAGCCTTCCACGTAATCAAACGAGTCGCCTTCCGACCGCCGTACCAAGGATTCAGCATCGCCGGCGAACCTTTCGAACTCATCGTATACCAGTCTAATCCACCGCACCTAATTAAAAAACCCAAAATTTAATTAAACCCGAATTACGTAACGTAAATGAGTGGCTCATGCAGTAATAATGGAATATTAAACCAAAAAAGCCACGAAATTAGTGGGAATAATGGGATTACCATATCCGGCGCTGGCTGAAGCAAAACACGAGCTCTTGTGATGATCCCAAACTGACCCAAACCGCCGAGAACGCTAAAAAACAATTCCGAATTTTCATTTTCGGAACAAATTACAATATCGCCTTTTCCAGTCACGACTTCTAATTCAGCCACGTTGGAAATTTGTGGGCCGTACCTGAAGGCCTGGCCACTAACGCCGCCGTTCGACAAAGTCCCGCCGACGGTTAAGCTAAGGTAATCAGTCCAAGACCTGGGAGCCAATCCATAACTCGAAACGCAGCGTTTCAAGACGTCTTCCCATAATGCCCCTCCCGATACGTCGGCGTAGGTCAGTCCATTAATCGGAACGATACTGAAATGATCCTCCATCGCACGCATGTCCACAACCAGCCCTTGATCCGCCATCGCCTGGCCGTTGATTGAATGGCCGTTACCCCTCGCCGCCACCGTCAGATTAGACGACTGTAAAGCCGATTTCACTACCTTCGCCACATCATCGGCGCCGGCTGGTCTCACCAAAGCCAACGGTGTTATTGAATATAGTCCCCCGAAATCCTTACCGGCTAAACCAGTGTCCCGTGAGTCGGTGCTGACGCCGCCTTGTAGTTGAAGCTCTAGAGCCTCGCACAGAGATGACCCGTCGTGGGGCCGGCGGGAATCGTTGTCCTGTATAAACGGTTCCAGGTAAGCAATCATCGTCGCCGGCGTAGGGCTATAAATAATGGAAGTGGGAATTTTTTTTTTTTTTTTCTTTCTTTCTTTTATGATTTTGTGAATTGTGCTACTACTAGTAATGTTTTAGGAACATAGGCGCTTTAAATAGCAACGGGAGGAAGAATTGAGGCTTTTTTTTTTTTCTTTTTTTTTTTTTTTTTAATAATTATAATAATATTTTTTTATTATTTTCTGGGGGTTAATTCCACTGTATTTCTAATGTTCTTGGCTTCATCTTACCTTCAATATTTTGTTGAATTTCTTGTCCTATCGACATCTCTGTCTGCCACTCCCATATTCCCACATTTTTTTCTTCTCCTTTTTAATTAATAATAATTCTTTTTAATATATTTATCCCCCACCCCTAACTCTTATCCTTTTAATCTTTAAATTAATACATAATTTATATTAATAAACACAGTTTACTTGCCCTAACTATCTATGTTTCATAAAAAGAATTAGATATTTTTTTAATGAAAAAAAAAAAACAAATTCGAAGAATACCTCTTCTTTCAAGACGGCGATGAAGCATGGTGGGCCCATAATCCATAGGTCCCAAAATCACATAAAAATTCGAGAAATACCTCTCTATAATAGATGGTGGTGAAACGTGATGGTCTTCAAATCATTGTTTTTATATAGTTGGATCACGTAGCTCGAATAAAAAAAAATATATATATATTAAAAAAAACAAGAGATTATCACGTGCTTAGGTGTAATTAGATAATTGGGTAACAGCAAGGATGGGTGTCCTGTTTTGTTTTTTTAGGGTGATTTAAAAGTGCTTTTAAATCTTATTTATGAATAGGTTAAGGCTTAAATTGAGTGATTATAAAAATATAATATAAATAAAGACAGAACAATAGTTTCAACTTTTTGATTATCTTTTTGTTTTATACTTTACTTTGGTCGTGTCGTCATAGTTGGATTTGGCCAATGAACAGGCGCCACGTACTCGTATTTCTTGTGAATTTGGCTTTTGGCCCTTCATTTTCCACTCAATTTACTTATAATATAAATAATGAAAATTTAAAAGCATATTATATCATATTATATATTTATTATTATCACGTCAACGCAAATATGACATTTCAACTACATTTGTCGACCAAACATTTTTATTTAATATCATTTAATTTTCCCCTTTCGTCCCCTCTCCTTAAAATAACAATTAATTTATAGGACCCATTTTTTCCCTTTCTTTTTTATCAATCACTTAATTTAATACACAAAATTTAAATATTATCAAAATGCTACAAGTAAATACCATGCCCATTTGCATTTTGCACATAAAATATTTGTAAGAAGGCATGCTCGGACATCGAAATCGTTAAAATAAAATAAATCTCAATTAAAAATAAAGACTTTTTTTTTTATTATTATTTTGATATAAGTTTTTAAATATGATTAATTTGTTCGGATTTTTTTAAAGATTTTATTTTCAAAATTTTAAGATTTTTAATTCTATGAATAAATAAATAAAATAACAGCATTTTTTTAATCAAATATATTATTTGTTATGAAATTCAAAAAATATATATAGTGAAATACTTTAATCAAAGTTTTCAGTGATTAAAGACTTTATTTTATAATTAAGTTGAATTATTGGAAGTCAAAGGGTGGGGAGAAAGTCAACGAAAAAGAGCCATGGGAGTTGAGAAACGAAGTGCAACAAATACAAATTCAAAGAACAAATACGTGAGCAGATTGTTGGAAAAAATGAAAATAATTTAAAGTCAAACGCCCTAAAGAGATGGAGAAGAAAAGTAATCAAGATCAACGGATGTAGTCGGTCAATGCGAACCGTTGACTTTGTATATTAAATACAGTAATTTTAATAATTTTTTTTGTTTTAATTAGATGACTAAACTATTTGTTACGGACTCGAACCAAATATGAACATTGTTCAATTGGACACCAAGACGTCACATATATGTTCGATACGGCAAGAAAAAAAAAAGTCACGTGATAGTCTAACGTAACGTTGGTCAAATCCACTTTGACCACTAAACATTCTATAGGGCGAGACATTTTTTTTCTCGTTTGAAGAGTAATATGCATGGATCTTGCATGAAAACGCTTATCCATATCCAATCAACTCTTGGACCAATTTCTGTATTAAATATATAATTAAAAAAAAAGGAATAATTTCACGAGGATATAAATATTTATAAATGATTTAAAATTAGAAATATATGTACATATAAAAAAGGGCAAAATGGGGAGAGGACAAAAGCGAGAATAAAAGACGAGAGAGCAGCCAAAACTAGTATTTCCATGTCCGTTGGTGTTGTTTTTACGAAAATATCCTTACATTTTTTTTTTAAAATTTATTATTTTTATACTTTTTCCTTTTGCAATATAACGCCAATCCCACATAAGAATCCGAGGCATGCATTACACCTTTATAAAAGTTGAAACTTTATTTATTTATTTATTTTTAATAAAAAAATTTATTCTCTTTTTTTGTTAACTTCTTTTCTCAAACAGTTAAAGACAGCTCTCCCTTTTACACACCTTATTTCCATTCCAATACCTATAAAGCTTCCATATTAAGTTAACTCCCAGCCTAGGGGCAAACCTGGAATTAAAAAAAATATAAAAGTTTCCCGCCACCTTCAAATGCATATGACAAATAAGAGAGTAGCCCACGTCTTGAACATAGATATCCCTTTATTAACTAACATGACATTGCATTTCTATATTATTAATATGTACATTTTTTTGACATAGTAGAAAATAAAAGGGTATAAAATTGATTAGGTAGACAAAATAGCATAAGAATGAATAATGGGATAATTTATTAAAAATGGTAGGTAAAATATTTTATATTCATAATTATATTAAAAAAACATTTTTATTAGAACGAGCAGGAGAACGTTACTAATTCAAATTTTGATTTTCCAAAAATGAGACTGAATTTTTGCTATTAGAATCTTTAAAAAATATGTCATATTTTTGTAATTATTTTAAAAAGGTCTCTTAGATTTTATTTTAATAAATATTTTATTTAAAATGTTAAAAGAAATAATTTATTATAGTATAGTGGTAAGTACCGCGTGACCTGGATTCAATACCCGCCAACTGCGTTTATATTTTGCGAATTCTTTTCGAAACGACGTCGTCTCAGATAGCTTGGATTTTTTAATGGTAACTTCGTTACATCAACAAGTTATGGTAGTATAGTGGTAAGTACTCCCGACTGTTACGTCGGTGACCTGAGTTCGATTCCTAGAAACGGCATTTTTATTTTGCGGATTTTTTTCAAACGACGTCGTCTTGTTCTAGCTTTGATTTTTCAAGGGTAACTTTGCTTTATAATTAGTCGTTGCAGTATAGTGGTGAGTATTCAAGAATTTTTTCAACGACTTTTCAAACGAAACGACGTCGTATCGGGCTGGCTTCCGTTTTCCGATGGCAATTCCCTCTACTGCCTCCGACACCCAATTTGCTTTTCCGTTTTCTAAGTTTCAGTGTGTCTCTCGGGAGGAGGTACTGGAATCATGATCTCTTAGACATCATTACGAGTCCATTTACTGGCTCTGGCTACAGAAATGGAGTCGTCCTTATCGGGGGACTCAGGTCCCAGCTCAGAAGCTGGGCCCTCACATTTCCCGCCTGCCGGACCTCACCGTTTACCTCTTGCAGCTCAACCGGAGATTATGCGAGCAGCAGAGAAGGACGATTAGTACGCCTCTTTTGTTTATGAAGCTTGTCGCGACGCTTTCCGCCACCTCTTTGGTCTGTTATGCACACGCCTTTACTTCTTTGTTTCCTTTACAATTTGATTGCTATGTTTTACAGCTCGCGGTCTTCGAAATTGCCATTTCTTCCTTCAATTTGTTAGTCTATTCGTCTAGGCTAAGCCAATTCTTAATTATATGTTTTCAGATACTTGGTTATCTCCCGTTTATTCTAGTTTCTAATTGTATTAGTGCGTCGATGATAGCTCCTTGTCTTGTACTAGTAGAGATTGAAATTAACGACTGCATTTAGTTTATTAGTGTGAAGAAATTTATATTCGTATAACGCATTTGATGCATAGTTCTATGTTACGAATTGAGGATGAGTTTAGTCTGGTTTTAATTTGTTGAATCTTTGTTTTTTATTCATTATAGGCGCTCGGATTGCTGTGGCATATCAGAGTGAGGTTATTTCTGGATTTGTTTCCTTTCAATTTCTAAAATTGTAGAGCACATTCAACTTCTCTGTTCATTATACAAGGTTGTTTTCTTTAATTCATTTTACTGCAGAAGAGATCATGAATTCTTGGTAATTTCTTCTTGCTCTTGCATGACGACCTAGTAACTTTATCACCAATTTTAGAAGGATATTGTGATCACTATTTCTTTTTCCTTAGCAGACAAATCTCCTTGGACAGATTTTGTATTATGTGTTAACAACTGGGTCAGGACAGCAAACTCTTGGTGAAGAATATTGTGATATCAATCAGGTGGATAAAGATTTGAATCCTATAATTATGCATGAATATTTGGTCTACCTTATCTCAAGCGAACGATAATTAGTATTCTTTTTTGTATTGATTTTTAAGTATGTTCTCGTGAAGATCTTACTGTTAGGCATTACGGATCTCCACAATGGTATGATATTGTCTACCTTGAGCATTGCTCTCGTGACTTTGCTTTTGGTTTCCCCAAAAGGCCTTATACCAATGGAGATGTATTCCTTACTTATAGACCCATGATCATTCCCTAAATTAGCCAATGTGGGACTCCCCTCCCAACAATCCTCAACACTTGCGACTGCCGGGGTTAATTTAATTTAATTTAATTTAATTTATAATGTTTAAATTTACGTTTCAAACGATTTTCTAGGTTTCTGGACCTTATGGACTTCCTCCAAATCCAGCAAGACGTGCTCTTTTCATTGTGTATCAGACAGCAGTCCCATATATTGCTGAAAGAATTAGGTTGCTATCACAAATATCCCTGATTTTCAGTTGTAACTGTGTTTGGCTTTAGTTATCTCTGATGCTGCAAGGTCCACTTGATGTTCTTACAACAATTGTAGGTTTTTCAGCTCTAGAGTAGCTTCTCGTGGCATCATGCTTGCTGAATATGGA